AAATAGCAAAGGCCACTTGGGGCCCAGCTTTGGAACTAGCACAATGCCACTTCTGCCACATTCTTTTGGCAAAGCAGGTCATGAGACCGGCTCTAATTCAGGAGATGGGAAAATGAACTCCCATATGGCCACGGTTTTCAACCTACCCCAGGCTAAGAAAGTCATAAACAAGGTGATGAATAGGGCAGAAGTCAGAAATCAGGCTCACAGATATTTGGGCTCGGTCTGAACAGTGTTATACTTTTTCCAAAAAATAAAATAAAATAACATAATTAACTTTAAATGCAGAAACCAGAGCATTTCATGTAAAACTCAAAACATTCCAGCATCTCTGGAAAAATCGGAACCGGCCACACTGGGCCCACATTTCCACAGGACAGCAGAGTAGTTGCTGGGCTGGCTTTCTCCACCAGACGGGGCAACGGCCTCTGGTTTGTCATCGTTCTTGCCTCTCCCTGTTGATTCCTGATAAGCCTGAGGCTGAGCATCTGTTGCCATTCAGGACCCCTCCGGTTCTGCTGTTCTGACAGCAGCACTAAGAGGAAAGCGAGACACGTCTCCTACCCGGGCTCCCTCGGAAGAGGCAAAATGAAAGACGAGCTGAGCGGAGCCCATGTTTGCTTATTTATATTGCTCATGTCATTTTTATTTCTAGAGAATCAGCAGTTGATTCTTTACACCTCTGCTTCTTTTTGGAACCTCATAAGCCTTTTCAGCATTTCCAACCCTGCTGATACAGAGTTGGGGGAGAGGAACCGAGAAGTCCCCTATAAAGAGGCGCCACCGATGCTGTGCCCTGAAGGGTGAAAAGCTGCTGGCCAGGACGAGCATGAGGTGAAGAGGCACAGGAGGTGCCAGTGTCCAGTAGTCACAGATCACAGAGAACCCTTGCGGCTGGAAGGTGTGGTGTCAAGGGGCACAAAATGGAGCTGGAGCGCTGGGTACAAAACACTTTGCAGAGGCTCAGAGGCCACAGCGCACAGACTGGGTTTCATTCTTAAGGCAATGGAACAGCAGCAAAGGGTTAACATGGTGGGATTCCCAAACACTGAGAAAGCAGTCTGTGAAGGGAGGAGCCGGGTTTGGGCGGATGGGTTTTTAGGAAGTTGGGCGGAAACTGGCAGAGAGTGAAGACAGGAGGGTCTGTCCACCGAGATTCCTTCCCTCTCTGCTGTCTGAAGGAAGCCTGGGCAAAGAGAGGCCTGTGGGAACTCAGGCGGCCCAGGGACTTCTGCTGTAGCCTCCGTAGGGTATAAAGTTTGAGTGGCTCAGATCTAGTGAGAAGTAGCACCAGTGAGTTCTGGCCAATGAAAGCCCTGGCAGTGTCTGGCCAACCCTGGAAGCAAGATGTCTGAACTATGGATGATTCTCAGCTCTGGATGCACATCAGGGCCACCTGGGTCCTATTCCTGGGCTCTCGAAGACTAATTGAATTCAAACTGCTGCATATAAAAATAACATATATTGTTATATGTTACAGGGTAGGGTTGTATGAGTTTCCTATGACTGCTGTAACACATTACCATAAACTGAGTGGCTTAAAATAACACAAATTTATTATCTTATAGTTCTGGAGGTCAGAAGGCCAACATGGGTTACGCTGGGCTAAAACCACGGTGTCAGTCGGCTGGGCTGTCTTCCTTTTGGAGGCTCCAAGGGAGGATCCGTTTCCTTGCCTCTTCCAACTTCTAGAGGCCAACTCATATTCCTTGACCTGTGCCCTGTATCACCTTAACCTCTGCTTCTGTTGTCACATCTTTTCTTTAATCTTTCTGCCTCCCTTATAAAGATCCTTGTGATGACGCTGGGTCTGCCCGGATGATCCAGGATAATCTTCCCATCTCAAGATCCTTAATTACATCTGCAGTTGTCTTTCGCCATGCTATATCACAGATTCACTGTATGGCGGGGGGGAGGGATAGAAGGGGGAATCAGTCCATCTTTTAAGGGGTTAAAGCATCTGAAGATTTTTTTTTTTCCTGCAGAGAATGCTTAAAGGGAGGTCCCCAAGCACAGGTGGCTCCTCTGGCCATGCCTCCAGGGCTGGGTGCTGTTGGGACCCATCAGAGCAGAGGAAACTCTGTTAGTGCTGGTCCCACCACATTGTGTCTAATGACACAAAGAGATGGCATAAAAGTGAAAAAACAGTTGTAGAAACAACGCAGGCCCAGGTATCAGACAGACTTGGGTCAAATTCCCAGCTCTGCCTTAGACTAGCCAAGTGACTTAGAGCAAGTGACTTAATGGCTTGTGCTTTTCTTATCTGTTAAGTGAGGGTCAAAATGATCTCGTAGGAATGTTGTGATGACGACGACAACTAGCAGCAAAGGACCCACCGTGGGGCCTAGGATGTGAAGCGTTAGACAGGACAGCAGGAAAGACAGCTAAAGGAAGCCAACACCCCAGGCAGATGACACCCCCTCTTCCTCCTCCCTTGCTCCCTGCCTTACAGTTGCATTGGGCAAACAGCAACTACGGCAGCTGGAGAATCTGGCCAGCCTGGAATTGTTAGTCAGTTTCCCCTTTCCTGGCCACAGCTGATAAGTATATCCTGCTGGATAAAAATACACCCACCCTTACGGTAAGATTTCCAGGCTGGGAATTCTCTCAGCACCTGACTCCAGCTTGGAGGAGCCTTGTCCTACAAACAATTTAGGAGTGGCTATGGTTCTTGAGCAGTGCAAACGGGCAAGGGATCTTGCTGCTCCGCCAGCTCTGGGATGGAGAGGAGGAGGCTGTGACTGCCACTGGAGAAGCAGCAGGGAGCTGGACAGTGGCGACGACATGCAAAACGTGGCTCCCTTCAGCCCTGTTTATAACTAGAGGCACTGATGGAGCTAAGAGACAAAAGCTTAATAATCAGCACAAGGTCTTAAGGTGTGCCGGCCACGGTTCTTGGTACCTCATGGCAGCTCATTTAGTTGTCACCACTAACCTGTGGCCACGGAACTAGACAAAGGACAAGTTGGTGGTAGAGACTGGATTTGAACCCAGTGGTCTGGCGTGGGCCTGGTAGGCTGGGTCCTCTAGAATCTAATTTAGAAAAGTAGTTCAAAAGGCTCCTTCAATTTCCTGATAGTATGGAGGAGACCTCCAGACCCCCAAACACTGGCTGACATACACACAGGCAGCCGATGCCGACAGCCACCTCCTGGCACTTACCAGACATGTGGCCCTCTCCCAGGCCATGCCATCTATGGTACACACACTTGGGATATGAAAAAGGATTCCCCATTTCCTCAATCCTCCCAAACCACAAAGCATCTGGAGTGTTGATCTTTTCTATTTGCTCCCTACGTTCTATCCCTCTTTTTATTGTTGAGATAAACAACACTCCATAACACAAACCATTCATAGGTGTACAATTTGGTGGCATTTACTACATTCACAATGTTGTGCAAGCATCATTTCATCACCCCAAAGGAGACCCTGGGCTCGTCAGCAGCCACTCCCCATCCCTCCCCCCGCTCGGGCCCTGGCGATTACTCACATACTTTCTGTTGCCTGTTCTGGACATTTCATATAGATGGATTCCTACAATATGTGACCCTTTGTGTTTGGCTTCTTTCACTCAGCATGTTTTCAGGGTTCATCCATGTTGTAGCACGTGTCAGCACTTCCTTCCTTTTTGTGAATGAATGATATTCATTTGTGTGAACAGACCGTGTTTTGTGTGTCCATTTATCCATCGGCAGGTATTTATTTACAGGGTTGTTTCCACATTTTGGCCAATGTGAACAGTACTGCTATGAATGTTCGTGTACCACTATTTGAGTCTATTTTCATTTTTCTTTTGTATGTACACCTAGGACTGGAATCGCTGGGTCACGTGGTGACTATGTTTAACTTGAGGAGCCACCGAATGGATTTCCACAGTGGCTGCACCATTTTACATTCCCAACAGCAATGTATGGGGGTTCCAATTACTCCACATCCTCGGCAACATTTATTTTCTGTTGTTCTATTATTATTGTTGTTGTTATATTATATTCTTGTACTATCATATTGCTGTAGCCATCCTAGTGTGAAAGCACTGGTTTCACATAATGAGGAATTACTGCCTTCGCCCTCCAGACAAGGAATCCAGAGACAAGAAACGCAGGCACTGGGGGGGGCGGGCTGCCACGGTTTCCCGGCGGGTGGGTGGGCACAGCCAGGCCTCCTCGGGGCTGCTGGTGGGAGGCCTGGGCGTCACTGGGCGGAGCTTCAGGCTCTGACAGCTCCAACCATGGCCTTCTGCTTCCAGCCGTCTTGGGCACGGGTTTCTCACTAAGACTTTGTTAAAAGAAAGTGTTCCACAGCAACCTTCTCGCTCCCCCAAAATAAAAAGGCTTGCAGACCTTATAACCTTCTTGCCATGGAAGGTAGAAAAAAATTAAAACCGACTTCCAAACCTCCATCATGCCCTGCTATATGACTGAAGATGAATATCCCATTTCTTCCTCTCTTCATGTGATTTCAGGAGTGATTCCAGCAGACTTTGCTTATGTAAAGTATCACATTACTAGTAGAGTCTCTAAGCTCTTTGCCCCTTACCTTCAGTGGGGCTCTGCCTTTGACATTATTTTTTTAGCACTACTGTCTTTGCAGGTTTATCGTTTTTCACTATGGTAGCAAGAGGAAATGATACAAAATTCTATTTTGCACAGATAGAATTCTTCAATATATAACTACACCCTTCACATTAAGGTCCTCTATTGCTCTTAAGTCTAATTTCTTTTTCTCTTCTGAGGAAAGGAAATTCAAAACCATTTTGGGAGGAAGAGAGCGTGGAGACTTACTCTGATAGGGCTGGAAGACACTGAGGCAGTGACTGCCCAGTATGGCTGCCAAGGAGTTTATCCTAGCATATCAGGAGCCAGGATCCGGGTTGCTGACACCCAAACCACTTAAGCGGTGGCGTAAAAGAGACAATATTCCATTCATAAATCAAGTCAAGCCGTAATGATAATGCTAATTTAGCAGGAACCACTGTAAAAATTAGAACCAATCAGAATGCCTTCCTCATCAAATTGTTTTATTAGGTTAAACAGCTTTAAGACAATTCATTTTGTTCAGTACCCTTCTAGAAAATATTTCAAGTTTTAAATGAACTTCCAATACCTAACACAAAATTACTTTACCGTACACAAATTTCAGATCAAAATACAACACTCTCTGTCTGTTTTCTTACAATTATAAAATCCAGTCAATACAAACTACATAGAAAAGATAAAAACACTTTCACTGATCCTTGGTACAAGAGAACAGCACAATTGCAATATGTTCCCAAAGCACAAGCCCTGTGCTCACGGAAGGGGATCGACGCCCCGTCACCCCACAATAAACTGAAGCATGTAAACAAAGTGCATGCTACTTGATTTAAGAAAGTTAACATATCCTTTTGTGTCAGTATTACTTGTAAACCATAAAGCAACTCTGTAAGAAAGGTTACTAATTCAAAATTACTTTGACTTTGCTAAATTTCATACCGGCAAAGAAACAGAAAATTGCTCCACAGAACAAATACATTTGGACCACAGGACATTTGAGACATGACATTTCAATGTAATCACATTAACACAATTTCTCTACTACACTACTGAATTTGGGGAGTACAATTTTGTAAGTTGCAACTTCCTGGTACTTCAAATATTTTGAACTCTCTGTATAATGTCTTTCATAATGTCTTGCATTTTTCATTGCAAATCCCTGTTTTTCAGTAGTAGATATTTCTTTAAAGATCAGGATACTTTATCACACACAATACAACCTAATCTGAATACATGCTTAAGTAGACTTCTCAACTTGGACTCTTACTAGATGATAAAAGCTGCAGGATTTAAATTAAAAACTATTTTGTATGTACCATGTCAGAAAATATAGATAGGCTCATTAAACAAAGATTTGTGTTTAACATGATAAATTTTGACATGGTATTTTGGCAATTTGGCATTTATATGATATTTATAAAATTTTCCTTATGGTATTAAAAGCAACAAAATGACAAATCAAGAGTGTGCTAAAAACTGGTTCTTGAAAAGAGTGACTGTCACTTATCTGGCACCTGGTACCACACAGGCATCAGCCAATAGGAGCGACACTGGCCATTCTACTGCACCAGGGCCTACGGTGAAGACCGGCCCTGAGTGCGGGAGTCAGAATGAATTCTCAACCCTGTTTTAAGGAATTCCCTTGACATTTCCTCTCGTAGCAGAAGACCTACATCAGTGGTAGAAAACAAACGGATCTACATGTTTATGAGTTATAGATGGATCTCATTTACAGATGGATACAAACATCTTTGTCACCAGGAACACAGTGATAAAAATTTAGTCCGCCAGAGCCTGCGTGAGGTGCTTCTGCAATACAGCTTCTGATGAGGATGGGAGCGAATGGGTAGAGAAGGGAGGTACTTTTGTTAAATCAGCTGATCATGCAGAGTTCTATTAATATATACTGCAGAACTGGCTGCAATGGTTGTTCGAAATTTCTACCGAAGCCACACTTATTTTTTTGATTGTCGCAATTCATGAATGGTAAGATTAAAAACAAAATGAGTATCACTATGTCACTGGTGACTTGGAAGGGTACAGGGTGAGGAACTGAACAAAAGCTGTGTTACAAATGAGTCAAAATGAAATGGTCCCATCGGCAGAAAAATCCACCAACTAGTTACTAAGCAAGTTTTGCTAAATAGCCTGTGCTTCTCTCAACTTGAGACCACTTGGACACATTTCTCGCCATAAAATTATCTACCCCATGGATTTTGGGTGATCGCTGTTTTCATGTAGAACTTGCATTTTGAGGTCTCACATAGGCAGACAATGCTATAAACCCACAGAAACTGAAGGTTTGTTCTTAAGCTGACCATACCCCTTTGTCCCATTTACTAGAGCCTCCATCATTTTTTACAAAGCAAAAGAGTTAAATTCGATGCGCATATGTTAGATTAATAATAACAAATTTATTTTCTGGAATTTCTTCTGAAGCAAAAATCCTTTAGAAAAAAATATGAAAAGGTCTCTCTTTTACTGTAAACAAGCAATTTTAATTTCTTATTCTATACACGGTTTGGAGTGCTTTTCAATCAGAGCTAAAGAACAGAAAAGGAAACAACGGCCTACTCTGCTCTACCAAATGCCAGCTAGCACGGTGCAGCACAGACCCCACATGAGGACACCCGCACAGGCCGGCAAGCGGCCACAGGACAGCTTGTTTATGCCAGTTTCCGGGCACCTCACTCGGAGGACTTGCCTGCACAGTGCCTGCTGGCTGGCGCTGAGGTAGTACGTGTAGCATCTGGAGCCCTGAGGGCTTCCGGGGTAGGCGGAAGGTGAGGCCGACCTGGGCCCCAAGGAAGCTCTTCTAGTCTACAGTCGCTTAAGGAGCCACAGATATGTCGTTGGCGATACCTCAGATGGGGAGAGGCTCTAGGCCTCCCGGGTTCTCACCTAAGAGGAGCAGAGCAGTGCAGACTCTGGGAAGCTACCCCGGGCCTGGGTCACGAGTCTGGCTCTCTTGCAGCCAGGGCGTGCTGGCTGTGGAAAGTGCTAGTCACGAAGCCCAGGTCAGGGACTCTCAGAAGAATGCCTTTCCGACACATATTGTTAGGCTAAGGGTTTGGGAAACTAAGCTTTTTTTTTTTAATTTTTTTTTTTTGAATACATAATTCAAGCAGTTATAAAACCAAGCTGGGAGAGGTATGGGATGAGGAACAGAGGGCAAGGTGGGAATGCGACTGCCAAGAAAAGTGTGTAAAAAGAGTACTCTTAAAAACATTACCGAAATAACCTCTTCCACCTTGACTAAAGTCCCTAAACTGGCACAGGAAGCAGTGCCAGCTGTGGGAAGGGCCCGTTTTCTCAGAGTCCACCTAGTAGCGGTATCTTTGAGTGGCCACGATAGGACACGGGGAGGAAAAACAACGCTGGTTCAAACAAAAGATTATTAATAAGTAAAGACGACTAGGAAACAGGGAGAAAACACATACACAAAAGTAAGAGAAACACAGACGGCTCCCTCCTGAGGACTGGGGTGCCCATCCCAGCTTACGCTTGTTGCCTGTTTAGGGCACATCTTTCGTAAAGCAGGTGGGGTCAGGAAGAGACATGCAGTGGCGGTGCCCTTCCTCTCCCTCCTTACCTGGGAGTAGGCTCCAGTGGGCCTTCACAGAGGAGGGACAGACAAACCATGAGAGGAATCAAGTCCTTGAGAAGTTCTTCTCAAAGGATAGGATACGATTTTTACTTATAAGCTTCCTTAAATCTACAGAGGTACTAAGAGATTTAAAACAATAAGTATATAAAAAGCAAGAATCACTGTTCTAGTGACAATGCGGTTTTAGGGAATCTCTAGAAATAGAGTTCCGAAAGTTCTGCTGAAGGTGGTTGTCGCTGTTGGCCATGGCCGCAATCAAGAGACCGTGAACTAGTGGCCAGGAGAGAGGAAAGGAGGGGAGGAAAGAATGGGAGAGAGTATAGGATAAAGGAAAAGACTCTCCTCCTCAAAAATAATGTAAAAGTTAAAGTACAAACATTATTATTTTTTCTTTTTTATTAAAATGTTCACAAACCTCTTGTCTACAAGGAGCTCTGGAGATCATAATGAATAGCCTGCCACAATGCATGAATGCTCTCACTGACCTAGTCACAGCTGTAGGGAGTCGCCCGTGAGAGTGCTTTCAGAGACGAGCGCTCAGGACCACAGAAGGCATTCATTTTATCACAGGGTAATTCTATTTGAAAGTGCTATAACTGTCCAAAAAATTCTGTCTCTATAGTTTCTGCCTGTTGGCCTGAGCCAGGCACTCTGGAGCTCACTCATCTGCTCATTCTAAAGGCTTCTCCACAGGCCAGAGCCTCAGGCCTTCAGAGGTTCCTGCTACAGCTTCTAGCAGGCCTGCCACTCAAGCTGTCATCCTTTGGGTAGCCTCCAGACTTACTCTGGTCTCTCAAACTGTGGTGCCTGGAACTGGCAACTAAATGCAGTGGTCCAGAGGCCTAGCAATGCAGCACATGCATGGATGGAAGTAGCAGAACAGACTTTTCTAGCTAGCACACCTCTTCTCACACATGTGCTATGACTTTTTTAAAACAGTTGGTTTATGTTCAAATTATCAATGATCCCCCTCCCGCTTTTCTTCTTCTTCAATTAGGAACCATCTTTTCTGGACCTAAACAGAAGACTTTATGTTCAGTCATCTTAATTGACTGTAAAGAGCACTGCAGACCCTAACACCCAACACTTAATCCCTCCCAGCACTTTTCTCTGCCTTTGATTTTTTTTATACAAGTGACTAATAAAAATGTTAAGCTCGAAAACTGTTAGAATACCTCAGTCCATGTTGACAAGGATCTATTCTTGGGTGTGGCTCTTCAATCTATTTCTCAGCCCTTTCAACCCTCTTTCTACTTCCTTTTCTAGTTTACAAAGATAACAAGAATGACTATCAAATGTCTTATTGAAATAAAGATAAACAGGGCATATCACAGAGTAATCAATCTACCAGTCTCATAATCTAAACCGGAAAGGAAGTGATATTATAGAAGCATCAAGTAGTTCATTTTTGTATCACTTTGTTAAATAACCCTTCTTTATTTGAAGGTGCAAAAGTTTTGCGTGCGTGTGCACACACACGAGCACTAGTAACAAATTTCGTTTGTTTGCTTGTTTTTAAGTTTTACATCGCATTGCATCCAAGTTAAGAAAGCAGAGTTTAGATCTACTGATCTCAAACAGAGATCTAGAAAATATCCAGTTTATTTGACCAGTACAGTCTACTTACTACTTTTGATATTTTAGGGGAAAAAATTCCAACTTTGGTAAACAGTGTTAAGTACTATTAGAGGGCTTCATTAGCCAAACTCTGAATTGAGGGTTATTTATAACTATTCTAAACACATGTTTTGGGATGTTTCAGCCATCCGAATCACCTTAAATTTAAATTTTAGAGAAGTAGAAGGAGAGTGGTGGCATAGGTCCAGAAAGTAAATAATGTTATTGACACAAATGTACATTTACTTGTATATCGTGTGGCAGCAGACACAAGACTGAAGAAAGCATGAAGGCCAGGGATATTGACCGCAGAGCAGCCTCTACCCGACAGTAGCTGCCATAATCAATGACTAGAGGCTGAGACGAGTGGCAATTAACAGCCCTCTAAGGCTATAACCACCACCACTATTTGTGTGCAAGGCACCAGCTAGCCCAAGTTCTCACCATCACTTCACTGAATCCTTACGGCCTCCCTAAGAGGTAAACAAATATCCATTATCCAGCTTCCACAAGTAGGAAACTGAGCTTCGTGGTTAAAGGGCTTCTGAAGGTCACAAAGCCGACAGCGGTGGAAGTCTTTTAAAACCCACATGCACCTGGTACCACAAGCCCACACATGCTTATAACCACTAGGTTTGCTCGGGAAAGTACATCAAATGTTTACAGATGTTTTCCTCATAATAATTAAAATACGGGTTGGGGCTTTAAGCAATAAGCCTTGGTTCTCTTGGGAACCACTTAAGGAAATGTCTCACTGCCTGCTGCCAGATCCACATGGTACTGTCCTGCTGTCATCTGAGGAGAATCTCTGTCATTCTACTGCCAGGAGCGAACCCTTTAAAAAGCCCTCTAAAAAGCACAAGGATAAAAACGACATCTTATTAACACATAAGGATGGTTAAGTTTTTAGGTGTTACCTGGTACATAAATTATTCCTAGTATGCTGTTCTCAGGAATGAGCATAACTCTTCTGGATGCTAGGGATAGTGGGTAATTCCTATAAGAAATCACACCTGGAAGGGATGGTCTGTCTACTCGATGGGCCTCACAGCTCCCCTGAACTTACCGACCAGGTAAGTTGACAGATGCTAGGGAGGCAGAGCCCACATGTGCCACATGGAGAAGGCACATACAGGAGAAAGGTGGGGACATTCCACTGACACAGAACAAATCTGATTACTTGCGATTTTAAGTATAATGCACTTCTATGCTGTTCCCACCTCAACCATGCACTTAGGAAACCCTTTCAGAGTTTCATTTGAAAATCTCAGATTATCAGAACTAAAAGGGAAGTAGACTCTAGTAATGAGCCTAGATTCATCAAATATTTTCATCAAAACAAAAGATTCTTGGGAAATAAATTCATGAAAATACACTTAAATAGATCCTTAAACTGCTCACGATAGCACCTTATAGAAAATGAAAATAGTAGCCCCAAGCGTCTAAATTACAAACACTGGGTCAAACTGCCCATAGCAAAATTTCCTGTCTGATCCTAACAAGGATGGAAATTAAGCTCTCTGTTTTACATAGCAGTGGGGTCTAAATATACTACTTTTCTACGTTATGAAAACATAGTCTTTTAAAGACTCTTTAAAGTTCAAGTTGAGTTTCAAGTAATCATTTTGCAGCAGCTCTAGGAGAATTATTGTTCCCCTGATTAAAAGTGCCTATTAAAAAAAATTTGAAAATACGCCTTAGAGAATTGTATTCCTCAAGGCCGCTTACTGCTTGCTTCCAGGCTTTTGTTAAAGGACAGAATGTGTTGAATTCTTCTAAATTGGCAGGGGATCAAGCACAACACTACATAATGAGGTAGTCGAGAACAGAGTTTTTCCTATAAACACAAAGAACAAGGGAATAAGTGCATGTAATTCTCATCCAATTAAACAGGAAATATTATAAAGCAAGCTACATATAGTCATATTTGAACCAAGTTCACTAGTTTAGCTTGAAAAAAATATAACTCAAAGTTCTAAGATATACTTTTTTTGTAATTGATGAATAAGAGCAATAGAATAAAGTACTTAAAAACCTATGATTTGAAATGAAATGCTAAAAGTGAAGTTCTAATAAATATAATTCACCAACCAGAAAGCAAGATAAACCTACATCAACTTGGGGTCTGAATTATCTGAAGTGGCCATTTATTCAGGTCCTATTAATCAGCTCGTGTTCCTCCAGCTCGTCTTATGCAGTGTGTAGCAGACTCTGTGGGCTGTCCTCCTCCTACTCAGAACTTCTCTAATTCACATCACAGTGATTTAAGAATTTACAACAACTTTGTTAAGCTGCAAGGACATTAATGTCAAAAATTATAATTAGCCCAAATTTCAGGGGAGAAGCAATTTAAAAAGATTAGTTTTTGCCCCAAAATAAAAAAGAGAAGGCAACAGACATTTGTCGCTGGATAATTATGCAATGCTGTTTTAGATATTTGATTAAGAGTTTGTTATTAGATGTTCGAAAAGGAAGAAGTTTAAAAATCCAAGCACTTAGAGAACTTCAATGATTGAATTAAAAAACATCAAACTTCCCTAAACGGTACGTATCAGACCAAGAATACAGTCATAACTGAGCTCCTCAGATTTAACAAAAATGAAACTTTTCAATGAGACAGAGTTGATATGTTTAAAATTAAAATAATAACAGACTTACTTCTAAAAAATGCAAAACATTTAAAAAGTTACCAGCTGGCTTGCCAAAAAAAAAAAAAAAAAAAAAAATGTCTATAGTTGAATACTACTGAGATTTCACTGCCAGTAGGCAGGACAAACTCAACCTGAGTTCATGTTCTCCTCAGCTATGAGCAAGGGGTCACTCCTCTTCTTTACACCACAAATTTCTATGATTTCTGAATCAGCTCTAACGAAAACTGCAGGGATTACTAAAAAGCTAGCAAAACACTTTCTTCAACATTGTAAGACAATTTCTTGCCCCTCACTGATTACATGTGGCAAGAAAGGGAAGTATAAATGAAGCTTTAGCTCTTTAACATAACAACAGTTTCTCTTTCATACAAACACTTATTACTTTTATTCTTATGATTTTTTTTTAATTCTAAAATTTCTATACTTAATCGACAAAGAAAACCAAAGATCTTTCAGCTTATATCTGTGCAACTTGCAAAAAATATATTTAGGGGTTTAAGTTGTACCACAAATGATGATTGTATTATTACAAAAATCCTTGTATGCCTAGAAAATTAAATGATAGTCTAATAGGCTGAATGGTTAAAACGATAATCCAAAGGCCTGGATTCTGCTTTTGGTTTCTACTCACATCTGCAGTGGGGAAGGAAGCTGCATCTACTGGGCCTCACAGACTGCTCTCTGTCCAGTGGAGAGCACTGCACCATCACAGAGATGTGAGCATCAAAGAGAACATTCTGGAAAAGATTTTGAGCCCCATATAAAAAGCAATAAATAAAACCCAAAAGTAAATGTGATAAATGTTAGTAGATGTGCTGAGCACAGGGTCTTAAAAATCCTATAGAACATATGGAGACCACAGAGTTCTATGTCACATATGTCAGGCACTTTGCATTTTAAATTCTGTGCTAGTTTCCCACTCTTTATTATGAGGCCAGCTCATCTGTGTACAAAGTTTCTCTTCAAAATCCAGCAAGATAAGTCACTCTCAGAGAGTACTTTTCAGTGCTGTGAAGAACATCACTTTGATCACAAGCATACCATATTCACTCATCAAACATTTACTGACTGTCTACTGTGTGCTAGACACTGGGATTAGCAGATGACTAAGGTAGGAACTCTGCCCACAAGGAGTTTACAATCTAGAAGGAGGACAGTATTACATCTGCCTCACTGTTAAGCTCCCCAGAGATCTAAGCAGAATTCTTAGTAGGCACTCAATAAACGTTTGTTGATTAAACCCAGGGCAGGCTTTTCTGTACCAGAGTCTCCTTGCACCGGCTCCCCAAGGCTCACAGGCTCAAGGGGCAGCCACTGAATGAGAGCAGCCTCCCCCTTCCCTTCCACTGGTGCTTTTTGAGGGGGTCCCAGAACTTTTTAACTCGATGCAATGAAAGTGCCACCTCATTCTTTCCCCCAGATAATCAAATGTTTTCTTCATCTGACTACAGGAGGCCTCCTCTTGAATGAAGAAAGCTAACATTCTAATACTGCAGTGTTTCTAGCACTCCTTGGAAAACTTTTTGGGATCCCTGGTTTGGTACGCTGAAGTAGGAACGCACCAAATCAAACCCCAATGGACCAAGGCAGCTAACATATTTCTCTAAAAACCTCACGTACTGCCATGAGTAACTGAGGTGCCATAGCAAAGACAGCCTTATCTTTACCATGTCAATATAAAGAATGTTATTTCCTGTACACTGCCTAGGGAACCTCTCCTCTACTTACAAATGATAAAAAAAAGGCACTTCTAAAGCACCACTGAAGAAAGTGCCAGCATTAAAGTGGTAGTGCAATATAACAAACTACGTGCTGTCCAACATCCCCCAAATGTTCTTTTTTGGTTGTTACAGTTCGAAAAAAGCCTACTGTTAGTTATCAACTCCTCACAGCAAAATAATGAATTAATGAAATAAACAATAAGTTTAGAAATTTCTCAGGCCAAATCTTTATAGCATACCAACCACTGGTTGGTAATAATCCCACTAAAGCAAAGAAATGCAAACACCAAGTAAAACTTAACTACAAACTACAAATATATTAAATATTTAAACTCAACATGAGTTTAACACAGTAGTATAAACTGAAGGGCCACAGGCTCAAGAATTTATCTGAAGCACCAGGAGACAGTAATATATGTAGTTTGGAACTACAATTCAAAAAGTAAACATATACAGACTTACCAAGTCACATCGCACACGCGCAAACACACACACACACACACACACACACACACATTTCAATCACACTTTTCCCTCACTTTAACATTATCACAAAAAAATAAAAAACTTCATTTTAAATACTTAAATCTTTGAAAAATCTACATTTGGATGTGTTAAACAAAAACAAGCAAACAAACCGACTTTAGACTGTAGCATAGGAGAGATCCTTTAACTATTCACTTACTCTAACCTGAGACAACTTTCCTTCCTGTGGTGGAATAATGAAAATAAATTGCACTTCCCCCAAAGATGTTATATTAAAAATGTTAAGATCTATCCTCAGCCACCAATTCCAACATACACCTGGTAAAAGTGCCTTATGGAAAAAGAAGTATCAAAAATTTATCAAGAAAAGATGTTTCAAGGCATTAGTGGAATGTTAAAACACAAACCTGCATGAAATGAGTTAAAATTTATTTCAAAGTACTGAAATAACTAATTTACAAAAAAAGTCACAATTAATTTTGGGACACAATAACATTAAATACATCCCTATACTTCAACATAATATTTTTATAATTTATATATAGTAACATAAGTTTGGCACTTAGCAGCTTTTGTTGGTTATTGCATCCCATATTATGTGGCAAATTTATTTAAAAAAAATTTCCTAATTTCTGCAGCTACAGTGTCAATAAACTGAATTAAAAAAAAAACAAAACACTACTTTATAAAATGAATTGACCAAGTACTGCAGGCACTGATAATATTGCAGTAGGGACCCATTCATTCCTAAACAATGAACTGTCTCCTTGAAAAGGCCTGGTGTAGACTGGGAAGAATTTTCAACTTCAGAAATTAAAAAAAAAAAGGAGAATAGATGATTGTCATAGCTTTAATAAGAAATTAGTTGCTACTTTAATGTACCCCAACTGCAGCTTCTGAATACCAAGGCTATGTCTGCACAAGATATTTTACTAAAGAAAATTTACTTTTTCAACAACTTGCTTTCTCTAAAACTAATATCTAATTGTAAAAAAAAAAACAACAACAAAAACCCACAAAAACCAAAGTTTCTTTCTTTGAGGTGGCCACATAGCTTGCTTTGATTAAAAGATATCCAAAGTATCTTTGGGAAAGTGTGCAGACAACAGCTGACTGGTACAAGATACAAAGAAAAAAGGCCCGCTTTGATTTACAGATCAAAGTTGATTGTGTTACATGAATGTGGGGCAAATCTGGCCTAGTGCCTCTGATAGAGAAGATAAAAACCTCATACCTTCTTTTACCAAAATCTTCTGCCAGAATAGCGAGTGAACATGCCACAGACAACATTCTTTAGAACCCCCATGGCAAGGCTCCTTTCAGCAACTTTTCTAGCACTGTGTTGACTTCTACTGGGTGTAAACAAACGAACAAACAAAAAAACTGCTCACCCCCTTTTCTGTTCATGGTGGGAAAACAGAAGTGACATTTCATATGCATGTTAACAGCATGCAAACATTCCATAGAAGAAGTTTCTAGAAGAAATTCCTGTTTTCAAAATTTACAACCAAAGGATACACTTATACATTAATCATTACGACAAAACGTTGCTTCTCAGAGCCATATTCTAAGAGAAAGAAAGCTGTAGAAAACAATTAAAAATGAAGAATTCTATACTAAATTGATTAGAAATCTGATATTGCATAAAATTCAAATTATGAAGTAATCAAGCACTTTGAAGTCCCTGATTTCACACTAAGGTGGTATACTTCAAATGGAAAATATCTCACAAGATAAATGCTACTAATGACAGACTTATTTTCCCCCAATAGGAAGTGGAGTAGATTGGGTTGGCATGGGAGTGAAAGGCAGGAAAGGAGGAAAAGATTAATTTGCTCTACTATGAAAAGAATGAAATTAAGTTGAGGTAGTTTATTCTACCGGCCAAACTTTACTTGTAATTTGTCTAAAACTCTTACTAGTGAACAGCACTGAGAAAATTCTACTACAAAGACTAGATTCTTAACACGTTCGCATTCTAAGACAAGTTTTCAAATCCTAAACAGTAGTAAACAAGACTTTGTGTGCTTTCAGACAGATTATTTTTAAAAGTTTTTGATCCCTTTATATTTTGTCTGGACAGTTTGTTTTTGTTTTGTTTTTAGTCACAACAGACCTTTATTTGTCTGACTCAGGTCTTTCTTTTATAAAATCTCCTACTCGCTAATATCCTCATATTTATAAAATGGTTCTGACTGAAAAGGAAGAGTGGCGCTGCATGAGATCCTTCACAACTCCAAGAGTACTACCCCAGAAATGATGGCAAGACGTACCTTAATCTACATTAACACAGAAGTTAGCAACTTCCCTTGAATTCACATGAGGGCTGCAACCTGACTCATTTATTCATTGAGTTTTTACATACTAAGATAGAATGTCATCAAATAGAAATTTTATCTTAGTTTCAATTAATCGTAATATAGTTTTAAAAAGATTATCAGCACAGAGTACTAGTAGTAAATGGAGACTAGCTGGCATACAGTCCAATCTAATATTTTAGGCACAAACCTTAATTTGTTGGGCATGGTTAGGCATATTTCCTTCCAAGTGCAGTAGAAAAGCAGTCTTGGTATGTTTGGATATGTTGATTTGCATATACGAATTTTTGTTTGTTTACCAAAGCCAGGTGCATGTTAGCAGTCAGAAATGAGTTCCCTTCAGGGAAAATGCACCTTAGTATTTTAACTTCAATATTTTACATTATACCAATTCCCACGTCTCTCTTCCTTTTGACATTTACTAGCCTCCATTTGTCTATAGACATATCTAACTGGAGGACTGATTCCTCCCAGGTAGTTTTTCAACAGTTACATGTTCTCCCAAACAAGAGCTGAAGCTCAAGCTTCTAAGCATTATAAAACTACTAGAGTTACCATACAAAGCCCGGCACACGGAGCAAGTTTCGGCTGCCATCTCTGTTCCCCTCACATAAAGCCATGTTATGGTGCACATGGTCAGAAGCTCTGCTTCTGCTCTGCTTCCTCTTCAAGGTGAATGAACACGGATACGGAATAAGCCTTGCTGAAGCTGCAGGCGGAAAAGCTTGCAATTTGCAATACGTAAGGCTGCACACCCGGTGCGGCGAAGGTCAGATGGAAGGAGTGGTTTAGTGTGGTGCCAGGTGCCTGTGCTTCTTTTAAATTCACGCACATAGTCGTAATTGGTACCTAAACCATGAGAATAAGCAAAGGTGAGACAACATGCCTTGGAATCACTAGGAAACTGTTCCAACAAAGTCGCCATAACATTCTTACCTGTATCAAGATCTCCGATAACATAAATACTGGCTCCTATCGGTACAGCTCCATAAACAAAAGAGGAACTGGCAGGGATGCATAAATTCTGGTCATTAAGATAGATCCACCTGAAAACAAACAGAAGGACAAAATTAAGAAAATCAAAGGATGATCACAACATCTGGGAAGACTAATGGGGACAGCGAAACTTGGTGAGCCTCCAACAGTACTAGGCATTGAGCCAGTAAATCTCAACCTTGCAGTCTACTTCTGGGTAGCCACTGATCTGCTTCCTGTCACTACAAGTATTAGTTTTACCTGTCCTAGAATGTCCTATATATTGAATCATAAAGAATATGCGCTTTTCAATCTGTTCCTTTTCCTCAGTACAATGTTTCTGAGATTCATCCATGTTGTTGCCTGCATCAATAATTTGTTTCTTATTTCTAAGTGGTAGTCTATCATATGGATACACCAGGGTTGGTGTACCCATTCATCTCTTCATGCTCATTTGGGCAGCATCCAGTTTTGGCTTATTGTAATAAAGCTGGTTTAGGCATTAGAGTGCAAATCTTTTTTTGTGAACTTATGCTACTGACTTGCTTGGTTATATGGTTAAAGGTACATCTTACTCGATGAGAAAAAAATGTCTTTCCCAAAGTGTTGTGTCATTCTGCATTCCAGTTAACGACGTATGAGAACCCCAACTACCTGGCATCAGGGCCAGCTCATCTTATCCATATTAGTGGTATGCATTGCTCTGAAGACTAACGATGTTGAACATCTCTATATGTGCTTATTGGCCATTTTATATATCTTCCTCGGGGAAATGTCTGTTTAAAGATTTGCTCATTTTTAAAATTGGGTTTTCTGTCTTACTATTGAATTGTAAGATTCTTTATATTTGTGGATAAAAGTCTTTTGTTAGATACATGTATTGTAAATAAATTTTTCAAAATGTAGATTTTTTTTCATTTTCTTAATCGAAGCTTTTGAAGAACAGAAGTTTTTCATTTTGATGAATTCCAATTTATCCTTTTATTCTTTTATAGTTCATGCTTTCTGTGTTCTTCTAAGAAATCTCTGCCTACTCCAAGGTTGCAAAGATTTTCTTCCTATGCTCTTTTCTGGAAATTTTGTGGTTTCAGTTTTCACGTTTAGGTCTTATGATATAGTTCAAGTTAATTTTTGAGTATGGTGTGAGGTAAGAGTCAAACTCCTTTTCTTCACATACAGATATCCAGTTGTTCCAGAATCATTTGCTGAAAAGACTTCTTCCCCTACTAAATTGCCTTGGCACTTCTGTTGAAAATCAATTTAATAACCACGAAAAGGAGCCAAGGCTCCATGAAGAAGTGGGTGATTCCACAGCTGAGACAGAAAATACAAAATGAGCCTAGAGCACCTTGTACTGCCTGCCAGAGAGAAAGTGCTTGAAAAAGGATGGGGTATATCAAACGGACACAGAAGCCGATATGAAGTAGCTCCCAGTGGCCAGAGCTGGAACAAATTGAACAACAAAATAATGCTGCTATTAGATTTATAACTCACAGAATAAACATCTATGAGTCTATGCTGATATCAATAACTGCATCCATTAAAAAAAAATAGGGAGAAGAGACAGGTCTTCTTTTCAGAATTACAATTAACAAATGTAGAAGGAATGAGAGAAATAGAAAAATCACCATTAGGCAAACACCATAGTAATAACCACTGCAGGGTGGTCTACTGATAGGTGCCAAATTATGGTGAAAGTTTGAGGAGAAAAAACATGCGTGTATATTCTCAAATTCTCTCTTCCAAGATATTTGTTAATTATGAGGGGGAAAAAACCTGCAGCTTTACAGTGGACACACCCAACAGACACCACTTTAACCAGGTAATCAAGGTTAGCATCACCAGTAATAAGACGTAGCGACATTACATTCTCCCTGCTGTGGTGCAGAGAGGGACATAGCACACTTTTGTGGTATTCCTGCCCAAAATACCCAACCACAGCCTAATCACAAGAAATCATTAGACAAACCCAAATTAAGAGACATCCTATAAAAAAGCTGACCAATAATCTTCGGGAGTATCATGAAAGACTGAGGAACCATCATAGATGAAAGGAGGCTAATGAAATATAACCGAGAGCAATGTCAGATCCTGGATTAGATCTTGGAGCACAGAGAGAAAAAATACTGGTAGACAAGCTGGTGAAATTCAAATAAAGTCTGTAGTTTACTTAATAAAATTGTACCAGTGTAAATACCCTGGCTTGACATCTGTACTATGGTTACATAAGATGTTAACATTAGGAGAAGCTGGGTGAATGGCTTATGGGAACTCTATTTTTGCAACTTTTCTACAAGCCTAAAATGATTCCAAACTAAACTTTTTTTTTTCTTGCTAAAACAACAACAACACTAGACTCTGCTGTGTAATGTGTTCACTCAAGGTAATTTGACCAATTTGAATAGCTCTAAATGCACAAACAGGTCATAGGGGACCTCACCAGACCTGGGAATGTATCTAAACCCTTGAGAGCTACCGAAGTCCAGGCCGACACTCTTTGCTGGAACATATGGGAGTACAGACATCGCTGCTGGTATCTCAAAATTGATGCTACGAAGTGTCCTAAAGCCAGTGGTGTAGGTCTAGAGCATCTCGATGCTAAACACAAACGTAAAACTATTTCACTAAGAATAGCACTTTTACTTCAATGAACATTCTTCCCAGATTGTTATAAAGTCATAGCTTCCATATTTTGAATTCCAAGAAACAGAAGCAAAATGATTTTTCCAAGATCCTGTAACACAGAAGCAAAACTAATGTAAGCTGCCATATTTCTAAATACTTTTATCTAACATTGATTCACTTAACATCCGAATGTTGACTGGTTTGGCCTCTGCCTCCAATATGCCTCGAATTAACAGGAAAAGTGAAAAATCAAAGCTTTCACTGAAAAGTGAGAATGGGGACCTGAACAGGTCTTTGAAAGAAAAAGTTTGAAAACGTCAAACTGTAATAACTGTAATAACTGTAATAACTGACTTATTCACATTTTATGTCTTCAGAGCTAAATATAAATAACTAAACCTCCAACATTTAAATTCCAAGCTCTGGATCAAACAAGCTGATGAGAATCCCTATGCCTTGTCTGCAGCTGCACTGCATCCGCAGGACCAATTCCAGTGGAAATGCAACAACTCCTCTGAGAAACCCATTAACAGGGCTATGTGTGTGCTCATGGAGGTAATTGGCACTTCTAAATTAGGACATACCTGACTAGATTATCTACTGAAATGGACATCAGAATACAATGCTATTTTGGAACACTTTGTAGAGTTGAGAATTTAACATAATCTCTCCCTCAGAAATTAAACAAAGCTGAAGAAACTGGTCCATATGGATGGTCTACCAAATTGGTCCAAAGCATATCAATGATTCGGAGTTCCTGGTAGTCAGCAAAATCATCCTAGGTGATTTTCTAAGGTGCTGAGGCTTCAAATTAAATAAAACTAACATGAATGCTTAATTGGATCATGTATTTAGCTGTTACTAATAAAACAGGTAGAAAAGGCAAGAAGTTTTGCATTTCTTTACCATTTATCACTTCATTGACCTTGAATAGTTTAGCTAACCCAGTCTCTGTAAAGTGGAGATACCAGACATCATCACCAACTTCAAATGACCATTGTGAGGATGAAATGAAATTGCTAATGTAAAGCACTTTGCACAGTGTCTATGATGGGAGGCATCATTAAGTAGTGGTGATTTTTTGTAATGAATGAGGCAATATTATGCCTTTAGTTACAAGATTTTCAAACTTGGGCTTATGAGGACTGGGAAGCTACAATGAAGTATCTTCTAATAACTCAGAATTAAGAATGCCCCCGAGAATGACACTAAAATATAGCAGGGATCAAAGCAGCAAGCTTCAGGGAAAGCAGAGCAGGACGAGAAAGGCAGGCAAGAAGAGAAGAGAAGAAGAGAGGGGCAATCAACTCAGGAGAGAGAAGAAAGAGGGGGCTTTAGAGAGGTTTCTGCTTTTAGGGAGGAAGGAGCTCTTAAAAAGCTGATCTTCCTGCAAGTAACATCTACATACTCTGGACAAAATAAAACAAACAACTGCCTGAGGACTCAGGAGTCTGAGTAAAAGCAGGCCGATATGGGGAAGCTGAAAGATGAACAAGTCTTCCATGCGGAGTGTTTCTGTTCTTTGGTAGCTTTATCCAAGGGCAGGCTGAGGGTAATGGCTGAAACCCTGAAAAAAAACTCTGCTGTCTTTTTGGTCACTGGAATCAGGGTAAATAGAGCATCTTGGGGCAACCAGGATCACCGAGGTATGCAGAGGAATCTCATAAAGAGGAGAAGTAGAGAAGAACCCCTATATGTGCATCCACTTTTCTCAAGTCTTTGACCCCAGAACCACAAACGCTTATAACTAAGGTTTGAAGAACTGAATTGAGACGTGAGCGGCTGCCCGCTGCAGGTGTGACAGCCTGCAATCTGAGTCTAATCAAATCCACTGCCTGCTAAAACTCTCAGAGCAATACTCTGAAGCAATACGAGACCTCAGGGCCTCAACAATGTCTAGGATGCAATCCAGAATTACTCAACGAAAGAAGAGCCAGAAAAATGAGAACCCATTCTCAAGGGAATAAACAATCAACAAATGCCAACTCTGAGATGACTCAGATGCTGGGATTTTCTATCAGGCAGGGACTTGAACGCAGCTACCACAACTATGCTCAGTAAGAGGAAGGAAAGGTGTTTATGATGAAAAGGTAGAAGATTTCAGCAGAGAAAAGAAAAAAATTCAAAATTCTACCTGAAGTAGCTAGGAAAGGAAGAGCAGAATAAACTCTAAGTAAAAAGAAAAAAAAAATAACACAAGAGCAGAAATGGAAAACACACGACGGAGAAAATTATCATCAACAGCTGGTTCTTAGTGGAAAGAAAACTGCAGTGGTAAGCTTTGTCAATAGAGGGTGCTGGAGGAACTACAAGGCCTGTCCCTTTGCTAAATACTATTAGCTTTATTTGGCAAGTAATGGGGAAATATGAAGAATCTGCATCAGGAGAATGAAATGATCAAAGTCACATTAATTTTTCAAATGCACAGGTAGGTGAATGTATGAATGAAAACTGGTTAGAAGGCTAATGATACTGCACATAAGAAAAGAGTGAATGCACTGGGAAAGGAGCACAGACATAAGGTGGGTGAATGTGAAAAATATTCAAGTTAAAAAAAGAATTACAAATTGGTAGATAAAAAATTGTCATGGGGATGTGAAGTACAGCTTAGAGAACATAGTCAATAACATTGTAATTATTTATAAATAATGCCATGTGGGTATTAGAGTAATCCGGGTAATCACTTTGTAAGTTATATAAATGTCTAACCACTACGCAAAACACCTGAAACTAATATAAAACAATACTGAATGTCAACACTAATTGAAAAATAAAAACCTTTAAAAAAGTTTTTAAAAAGACGCAAAACACCTGAAACTCATATAAAATGATACTGAATGTCAACTCTAATTGAAAAATAAAAACTTAAAAAAAAATTTTTAAAAAGAAAATAAGGCATGACAACTGATGAGATGTGAAGAACAAGAGAGAATCAATGATGTTTTTTGAGTATGGACAACTAAGTGGATGGTAATATTAGTAAAAGAAGCGGGGCACAAGGAACAGAATAGAGATACTGTCATTCAGATACAGTAAGTTGTTTCTATGACTTGGTATAACTTATGGCAATTACTTTGCTTTCCTTCAGTTTGTTTTTAGTCAGAAACATAGAAAATAATAAGATATGGCAGTTTTCCAGGAAAGTTTTACCCTAAAAATAGGGAACAAAGGCAGGAAAGACAAGAGATTACTTAAAACAATAAATGGTCTCCAATCTAATACAGATTGCTCATCTGGCAACAGTTTCCAGGTAATGCAAATATAACATACTTGGAAACATCCGATCTTTTAAGAAATAAAAATATGCTATTTTCTTTCTATAGATATTTATGGGAAAGGTAGACGCTGGGGCCAGAATTCCCGAGTTCAAATTCAAGCTCTGCCACTTGCTACCCTGTGTGTCTTTGGGCACATTACTTAACCTGTTTCAGTTTCCTCATAAGTAAAATAAGAATAAAAAGAGTACTTATATCTCACAGGGCTGTTGTGCAGATTAAATGAGTTGAGTTAATACACGGCATTTATGTTACAAATGTGATTAGTGTTATCTAAGCAAGTAAGAATCCTATATAGTTCACCCTTAAATAACCTGGGAGGTGGGGAGGTTAAAGGCGCTGACCCCTCTGCACAGTCAAAAATCCATGCATAACTTCTGACTCCCCCAAAACTTTACTAAGCGCTTACTGTTGACCAGAAGACTAACCGATAATATAAACGATCAATTAACACATATTTTGCATGTTCTATGTATGTTGCATTCTAACAATAAAGCTAAAGAAAATGTTATTAAGAAAATCATAAGAGAATATATATTTACAGTACTGTATGTTATTTATTGGAAAAAATCCACATATAAATGAACATATATAGCTCAAATCAAAGGTCAAATGTATATTATATTGACAAGAAAAACTAAACTTTCTTCATTCTATTTATAAACCAACATTAGAGAGCTTAGAAATAAGGAAACTAAACATGAGAATTTTATTTAGAGGTGCTTTTAAATAGCAAAGAAGGAACAATACTCATGGTTTAACAATTATGAACTGAAAGCAAGTAATAAATATACTTATATTGAAAGCTTATCAACTATAAATATGAAACAATCTGATAGAAATATAAAGGTTCCTATAATTTGTAGCATATCAAGGGCAGACTGAGAAATTTTATAGCCAGTTTTAAGTCTTATACATCAAAATAAGGGCAGAAAATGGTAAAATCATAAGCAACCTTGATTATTCCAGTGAGTTATAGCACTACAGCTTGTACCGTCTAAACGGTAATTCAGCCATTATGAAAGAGGCTCATATCAATATTTTATCAGAAACCAAACATACTGACCATTACTTGTTAATGAAGTTGGGCAGATGGTCTCGAGATTCGTTTGGGAAGGAAATTAACATACTATTTCATACCTTGGACTGTCAGCCCTCATCGTGTTATATCAAGGAAGAGTAATGTAGTAAAGTCTTTGAAATTCTGCTTCCAACCCCACCCTAGCAAACATCCTCTAAATCAGGGGTCCCTAACCCCCGCAGCAGACTGGTGGATACCAGTCCAGCGGCCTGTTAGGAACCAGGCCGCACAGCAGGAGGGGAGTGGCAGGCAGGTGAGTGAAGCTTCATCTGTATTTGCAGCCGCTTCCCAGCACTAGCATTGCCGAAGCATCGCCGCCTCAGCTCCACCTCAAATCATCAGGCATTGGATTCTCATAGGAGCACTGGTCCCTGGTGTCAAAAAGGTTGAGGACCGCTGCTCTAAACTGTTTTCACGCTTTGTTTAATAAATTTTCCTAAAATAGTCTACCCCTGTAATTAAAGGGGGGAGGGAGCATGCAAATTCCCTAAATTTATAATACATTAAAAGTTAGGTAACATTTATACATCGTTCAAAACCTTGATAACTGCTCATTATTTGTCCTAATCTAAAATAATGTAAAATTAAACATTATATGATGGCACCCCCTTCTGGTAACATGACTGAAACTATCACAAGATTAATTTTAGCATGGCAGTTTCCCTGTAGGATTTGAAAATATTACTGCAATAAGAACATTGTTTAGTGGTTACAATAATAAAACCCGTGAGAGGAGGAAAGAGAGGGGAGGTTGGGAAGAATGTTATCCACTCTACTAGTCATATATGGCAGCCTGTCAGAAGTTTTAAGTCTCCGACACCACTCTTCACCCATTTAATCAGCATTTTACTGAATGTCTAATATAGGCCAGTTACAACGCTAAAGCTAGGGTCCAAAGTTGGCAGAGTTGGACCTTGCCCTGACGGAGCTTATGGTTGACAACTACAATCCAAGAGCGGTAATATGTACAGAGTGCTATGAAATCACAGATCGAGAAACTGAAATCAGACCTCTAGGGAGTGATAACTAAGCAGAGTTTTGGAAGAGGCCAAACTGACTGGACAAATATGAAAAGGGAAATTTTAGTCAAAAGGAATAGTACAAAGGCATAGTGCTGAGATAACCAGGACATGTTTGGGAGAAAAATGTTGCTGAGTGCGAGTCAAGTGAAGCATCTACACTGAATAGTAGCGGAAGGAGTAGACAAAGGCCATATCACAAATAGCTATATATGGTAAGTGAAAGAGTTTAAACTTTTTCCTAAAAGCTACAGGGAGCCAATGAATGATTTTAAGCAACTAAGTGTCCAGGTCTGATCTACATTTTAGAAACACTTTTCTATGGTTTTCCTTTAAGTTACTAATACTTCTGAAGTCACTGAATTAAATATCTAACATGCATTAGACATATCTCCTAAATAGGAGACCTAGCTCCTAAAATAAAGTAACTTGAAAACAAAAGTAAATAAAGCTAAAACATGACTTTGAAAGCAAACAAACAAAAAGTTGCAAAAGCAGTTGTGAAACCATTCATAATTACCTTTTAAACTCATCATGGTAGAATTCAGACTTGCAAGTTACCATCTCATTACCCTGGATGTCCTCACGACTTCTAACTCCTCCAAATACATACAGCTCCATGGCAACTCCGCAAGCCACCGCTCCAAATCTGAAAGGCCACACAGAGCATATTAGCTATTGGATTTACAACTCATGACCCGATTTCCTAATTCTTCTTATGCTTGTTTTAACTCTGCAACATTCGGTGTTTGGTGAACATGTGGGTCTTTCTTTTTCAGGCAGTGGATTATTCATTTAATTTTAGGTAAATCAAATGCCCAATCAAATAAAAGGTTTGTGTGAAAGGAGGAGTAAAAGCCAGGTTCAGGGAAACCTATAAGTCCATATCAGGTTCTTCACCTTCTCTCTTTTAGTGGACATATAGCAGTCCATTGCTGGGTCCTCGGGTCATAACATTCCACAGATTCAAACAGTTTTCCATATGATCCTCCACCCATGGCGTAGATTTTCTTTTTCATAGCTGCATAGCAGCCAATCTGAAACAAGAAAGCAACAGTGGGAAAGGCAACATTTATTACTGAAGTTAGATGAATAAATATTAACTTGTCTAGAGAACACTGTAAGATATTTGGAAAAGGATTTGATTTCTAATAGTAAAACTATGGTGCTTCCCAATATTAAAACACAGGATTTTAAAAGTGAGTAAAGTGAGGTAATACACATGTTAATCCTCAGAAAAGGATTCGCTTCATCTAGTACTATTTCACCAAGTGAGTTAAGTAAATAACCTTCATTTTTAAAGGAGCTTTCCAGTCTCTCCATCCTTTCACCACTATTTGAAGATTCCAAGATGTAGATTCCATGGAGCAAGATGCCACTTCACTCCTGCCCAAAATAATTTAGTTGAAAGGGCACAGACAGTGAGAGGACATATTACGAGTACATCCCAGTACCTAAAGAAGTAAAATAGCTGCGGCACTGGACAGAGCTTTGGCTTGATGATGAACTCCCTGCCTACACCAAGGATTATAAATGCAGACAATGCTCTAAACAGCTAACAGGAGCCATTTGTTTTCACTCTGTACAGTAAGCAATGGTAATTGTTTACCTGTAGATTAATGTTTCTCCCCAGTACTATATGATAATAAAGCAAATCGATTTGGGAGATCTGGTTGCTTCCTAGGTGAGTGCACTCACAAAGCATTTATCAAGTAGGCCTTGGACATAGCAGTGCTGCACAGAGCCCACTGTCACGGTAAACACACACTCTGTTTCCTATCTTGGTGTATGGCTGATAATAATGAAAGCAAACTACCAATAGAGGCAGAATTTTATAACGTTAATTCTTTTAACATTATCAATCATATTAAAAGGCATGTGTAGAAAATGAAGAAACATTAATCTTTACAATCCAGTTTGTAATCATAAGATATAGTTCTCACCTTTCTAACCATGGTTAGATCAGGTTGCTTTGTCCAGGTTTTAGAATAAATGTCGTAACGCTCCATGGAAATTAGCTCTTTTTCACCATCCTCTCCTCCTAAAATGTACAGCATTCCATCTATTTCCACGATTCCAAAGTTATGTCTTGCCTGAAAAGACATCAAAGATCTTTGTATACGAAAGGCCAGCTAACCTATCGAAAGCTGATAGTTACATATTTAACAAAAATTATAGAAATCATTATATTCCAGAGTTCCAGCAAAGAACTGCCATGCTCAAAACCATCTTGTTCAAATATTTCTGACTTCTCTAGGAGCTCACTTTTCTATCACAATTGACAGAGAATACAAGTCCAAGAATTTCTCAAAACTAGAGAATTACCTGCATGTAATTCATGTTCAGAATCATTACTTTTTACTCACCATAGCTTATGACAAGAAAAAGGACTGTTACCTTCTGTTCAATAAAATTATCTGTGTTTAGCAATGGACTATAATTGTTTTCCAGATTGATGTTTGAAAGACAAGAACCACAGCAACAGGATAGCCTGGGGCTGGAAAGGCAGTGAGGAGAACAGGCAATGACAGAAGCCTGAGGCATTTCACAACTCATTCGGTCAACGAATATTTCCTTAGTGTCCGTATGTGCCTAGCACTATTACGGGGGTGAAGATAGAGCTCGGAACAAAACCCTGCCATCAAAAAGTCTGCATGAACACTTTAAAACTCCAGAGTATGTGAGAAGGTGTTACATGGTATGAAGAGAAAGCAGGGTAGGAGAGACAGTAGGGCTGAGGGGCTAGAGGGAAGGTTGCCCTGACAAGGAGCTATACAGACAAACAATGAAGGAATCAAGGAGCACGGCATATGGGTATTTGGCAAAGGTCCTGAAGCAGGAGTATTTCTAGAAGGTTTGAGAGACTGAGGAGGTCAGACTGAGTAAGGGGAAAGTATAGAGAGGAGAGCTCGGAGGGCAGGCAGCAGTCTATTAGGCGGTGGGGAAGGGGTTGCAGGGTTGCTATTTCTTATACTCAAATACAAAACAAAGTGCTAAAGGAAAAAAATAACATTAAATTAAAAAAGCAATGTTTTACCTCATTCATTGGTGGCAATGCAGTCCATGAATTTGCATCTGGGTCATACTTTTCTCCTGAGCTCAGGGTCTGCTTATTTTCATCTTGGCCTCCAAATACAAACAAAAATCCTTCTGCAAAAATCAAAGGAGACACATGAGAGAGTTGAAACTTAAGTCTTGAACACCTATCTCCTGTTGAATATAAATGCCATAGCTGTAGAGACAATATGTGGAGAAAATTCTGACAACAATGGATTTGAGATCTTTATCACATTTCATTTGATCCATGGTGACAGAGCCAAGTTTGTGAGTCACTTTTACCATTTTACTTCACTCAGTATGTCTGAGTGGATTCTCTCTATAGCATAAAAAGAAGACGGACACCACCCACTCAGTCACCAAGCAGTTCTGGGTTATCTCAGTTCATCTATTTTGAAAAAATATTCTACCTTTCTTTTAATGGCTCTGAGGGGATGAAAAAGAGAGAAATCTAAACCCAAGGCCCATAGAAAGTGTGGCTTCTTGCAGGAGAGACTCTCCAAAGCTCTAACCATCTGGATGAAGGCCAACCAGTACTAGAAACCAGATTTAAATCTCCTTGCTTGCCTAGGAAATCTCAAAATTTGAAGTTGATTTATAGTAATTCCAAATTAGTGGTGTTTTCAGGCAACTAGCAGAAACTAATGTAAAAGTTCTATTTTAGAAAGTACCGTAATCTATGCTTTTAGATTCTAACATTCTAAGATTTGAAAGCATCAAATTATTCCTACAAATAATTTTTAATAAAATGATCGGCACCTAGCCAAAAGTACTCAGGTATACAAAGAAACTAGACCCTATGAAGAAGAACCAGCAGAAGCAAATAACAAGAAGCAGTCTTGCAAAGATTTCAAATTTCAAATATTGGACTAATCAGAAAGATATAAACAACAATGCGAACTATATTTAAAAAATAAAAGACAAATTTGAAGATAACTTTTGCCAAAGGGGCTACAGAAATAACTTGTAGATTTGAAAAAGATTTAAAGAGAATTTCTAGGAATAAAAAAAAAAGGATAAAATTAAAAATCCAATGGATGGATTGAATGGCTGATCATCATAGTTAAAGAAAAAATTTATTAAATGGAAGATAAATCAAAAGAAATCACAAAGAAAGCAATACGGCGAAGCAAAAGATGGAAAATAAAACAAAGAGAAGGCAGGAGACATAGGATGGAGTAGAAAAGTCTAACCATGTTTAATCTAACTTCTAAAAGCAGAGGGAGAGAGATTAGAGCAGAGGCACTATCTGAAGACACGATAAAAATTTTCCAGATTTGATGAAAGGCCAACACAGAGTCAAGATCCCCAATAATCCTCAAATATGGTAAAATTTCAAATAAAATGTGCACTTAATTAAACACATTGTAGTGAAATGGCAGAAAACAAAGACTATATATATATTAAATACAGCCCAGAGAAAAGGACAGATTTTTAGACTGCCAACTGACTTAACAACAACGGAAGCCAGAAATCAGTAGAAAGGCATCTCTAATATGCTAAAAAATAATAGATACCAACCTAAAATTCTATACTCAACAAAGATCCTTTAAGAATGAAGACAAAATAATGACATTTTCAGACAAACAAATCTGAACAGTCTACCAGTAGACCCACAATGAAGGAAATTGAAAGGGGTGAACTTCAGAGAGAAGAAAATGATCCCAAATGGAAGGTGTGAGGAGTAAGAAGGAAGGAAAAACAAAGAGAGTGGTAAATACGTGGGTAAATCTAAACAAACACTATCTACCTATAGATATATATGTAAAACATATTAATAAAACATGTATATATAAATATTTTATTCATAAATAATCATGTATTTTAAGACTGTTAGACTGTAGAACATGAAAAATAGAGTATAAATGTATTGAATAATTTCAGTCTTTGATCACTTAAGAACACAGGCTATGGTTTCTAAGGAATCCTTCGAAAGAACATAAACAGAGAATGTAACCTCTAAACTAGTAGCGAGAGAAACAACTGAATGAACAAAAAGTCAGTCAATCGATTTTTTTTATAAAGGCAAGAAAAGAAGGAACATAGAATAGGGCGTATAAATAGGAACTACTCAATCATTTCCCACTTCGGTCAAGACTATTGGACACGATTCCTCTCCTCATTGCTTAAGTTCCTGAAATGCTGACTCCTCTAGGAAATCTTTAGAAATCAGTGATTTAGGAACCTTTGTGGTAGGTGAGTATGTATGAAAATTATGAAGGTGTACATATGGGAGGAAAGCTTAAGGAAGCTAATTCTAAAAAGACAGAACGAGGAAATCAGATCCACATCTTGTTGGCTATACCACTCTATCCAGCTGTTTATTACTCACAATAACTTCAATAATCTTGAAAATGGTTCTCAGAAAATGATTCCATTTCTATACTACAGTATAGCTTTAGCTATTTCTATAATATGGTTTAGTGTGGTACAGTTTTAAAATTTTTTCAGATAATGTTAATGGGAAAGCAGAGACCATAAAATAAGGATTTGAGGAGGACTGCTGACAATAATTAGAATTAAAGGAAATGGTCCTTATGCAGTGAACCCAAAAAGGTAGATCCAAGCAGAAGAGAAAAGTAGCAAACAGTGATGAGGCAGCAAGGACAATGTTTTCTATCAGCTCCTTGAGTGAGAGCTTTGAATAATGCGGAGCTATTTTCGAACTTGTAAAGGTCAACTAAAACATACTTTCTGTAGAAAAATAATTGAAGTCATTGCTAATGTCAGTAATATTTTCCAAAGTCTCATATGAAATGTCCGCTTTTCCATACATATTTATTTTAGATATAGTTACGTAATGTAATTCTAAATTTCATGAATTTCAAAGATGATGAAACTACCACAGTTCAAATAAATTCTGTGTTCTAGGTATGGTCACACAGATAATTGGTAGTAAGTCACTGAATTTTGCGTTTCTTTCAGTTAAGACATCAAGTAAAATGCTTCTCTACTAAAGTCTTAAAAATAGCTACGTATTAAAGATTTGGGAACAATAAGGACTGACAGAAGATACCCTTCTTCCTGGCATAGTCTTGAAAGCTTCAGCTACACGGAAAATGTCGTCACAGAGAAATAATAAAATTATATCTTTAAAAGGCTTTGAGTCATTCTGTTCAATTCTGAAATTACACACTGATCTCGTATTTAACTAAAATTGATCACATAACAATACCTGCTGAGAGAACTCCGTGGTTAATTCTTGGCATGCTTAAAGGAGCCAGTTCAATCCAAAGCTGCCTATTAGGGTCATAGAGAGGGCACATACATCGCATTGCTGCTGTTGGTTTCCGTGAACTAAAAAAATAAATAGATTATCAGTTAAGTTTTATGTAGTTCTACTTATAATAACTATGACTAGTTTTACTGCTCTAAGAATGTTTAAACCATTAAAAAAATCTATCGCTATTATGCTTTAGATACTGAAAAATATTATGAACTCTTGTGTACATGAACATCTCTCTTCTCTTACACTACTTTTCAAAAAATGCACACCCATACTTCCACTCTTTCTTCTCCACCAACAGTCACAATGCATTCAGAGTAGCCCCGGGGTTTGAAGTTTGCTAGCATTGCCTCTCCTTGCTGTGGCTGGCTCAGTGGTATGTTGCTGCACTCTTTGACAATTTCTCGTACTAATGGTTCATTCAGCATCTGTTCCCGTAAGTAGCTGGAGTCTAACCCTGAAACCCATAGTGCTGACATAACATCTTTCATGTGGACCTGCAGAAGAGGGCAGAAAGGATGGAGAGAAAAAATGGAGAATGCATACTGGCCCCTTTCCTTTCTACTTCCCATAGCAGAATAAAAGTTTAATTAAAAAAATCATCAATTCAGATTTATAGTTGATGTATCACTGCAAAGTTTCAAGCAACTTTCTTTACACCCTAAAGGGTTTCCATAGCAACAGGAAAACTCAGAACTCTGCTATAGTTTTTATTTCACATACTTGGATGTGCTGTGAGTTAAATCACATTGATAGAAACATTCTATATAGTATACCTTGATAAAATATGGTAAACCAGATAATGAAAATGTATCAACATTAATATTACAAGAAAAATATAGAAAAGTTAAAAAAAAATCATCTGAGTACTTACTACTCATTTCTTCAGTAATCGTTAAAAATATCTAACATGTATGATATGAATTACATACTTTTGATAATCATTAAATTTGACTATAGCATTCTACATATATAAGGTGAAACTCTTCAATTACTAGTTTTTCTTGGTTTTGAAATAGTCGTTTTAAGGTATATTCTTCTATACCCTGAGCATTAAAAGCCAACAGTCTTTACAGCATCAAGTTCAGGTTAACTAAAGGATGAAGAATTGCCTCGTTTCCCCTGCATTCAGTTGACATTGTCATCTCCTTAAGGCAAGACGGTCAGGGAGAAGCTATTAACAGTGGTCTCAGTGAATGGGAGCAAGCTGGAAACTGTTCTATTTCCTTTCCTAATTTACCCAACTAATGTAGAAAATGGAACATTAACTGTACTAACTATGCTGTGACTATAGTCATAGTTTCTAAATCGACATATTCATAGGCCTACAGAATTTGAAAAATTATAAGAAAATCATTAAAACATAAGTCAATAGTTATCAAGAACAATTAACAATGCGATTGTACATTTTGAAAACTACTCTAAAACCTAATATACTTATCTTGAATAAAGTAATTGAAGCTAGTCTCTAATTTAGAAATATTGGACTTAGCCCTGTAATTCTGCTCCCTCCCCCAATGGTATTAAAAATTTAGACCTAAAGCCTGATATTCTCTACGACCTTTTCTTACCCGGCTGTCACTCCAAGAGCCTTCCTATTTGGAACTGCACTATCATGAAAACTCCAAAATGTTCACCTGCTTTCTCCCAGGTGGTATCAATCACTTCAGGGAGAGCCCAAGACCCTCACCCCTCTGCCAGAGCTCCGAGTGCCCCCCCTTGCCTTGCTGTTTGCATGAGAGTTGCTGTAGGGGTTAGCCCAGTGAAGTAGAGGGGAAGGATGCTGAAAGGGAGGGCGGGGATGCTACATTTCTATAATCCTCAGTTTAAGCTTAAAATGCACTTTCCCATGAAAAACAACATACAAAGGATATAACGTAAACTTAAAAGTATTCATATTTTCATTCCTATATTGTGTTACATGCGCTTTTGTAGACTGGTCTGAAAAACCAACTGCTTTAACGACCTTATGGGAAGATATTTTACAAATACATTTTAGAACACAACTTTGCAAGAAATTCATGTTGGAGGAGAAAAATAAAACATCTACAATTTTGATGAAAAATAACTAATAAATGAAATAAGTCAAAGGCAAAGTTAGACCACATTATAAACTTTAGATACCTTTCTTATTTCTGTATCATGTGCTATCCATCGAATTACTGCCTCAAATACATATCTTTCATTGCCAACGTTTAACTTCTCAAGAGAGATCACTTCCTTAAGCTTCTGAGGACTCAGTTCTAGGAATTCTTCTGTGCTGCTGACATCTCGGAAGTGAGTCTCTAGGTATTCTGTGGCAAGGTAATGGACGTGGTGCAGGCAGTAATGAAGTGCAAAGTCACGGATGCCGATGCAGTTCTCAGCAGCAATGCAGCCTTCTAAAAACTCACAGCACAGAGTTTTAAGATCTGTCAGCAGGAGCAGGTCCGCTGCCTGTACAACATCTTGGATGGTATCTTCATTTAGCCGGATCTGTAAGAATATCATAAATATTTTATATTTGAATAAAAATAGTTAAAACCCTAACCACTAATCTATTATTCTGACCCAAAGAAAACTCCATTTCTATAAGTCAAAGATGACTGAATATTGGCAATTTTATACAGTTCATCACAGTACTTTTTTCCAGGAAGAGTTTGAGGGCCCCAAGGAACCTTCAAACAACATGAGCAGTGTGTGGCTGGCTCCCAGTGCATCCCTTGCTTTACCAATGTTAACTGCCAATAATTGTCCTGTTGCTCACCTCTCCACTTAATTTAGAGAAAAACCTTAAATGACTGAAATGCTTAGGAAATGGAAAGTTCTGTATTCTATGGTAAACTGAAGGTGATTTCTTTGAAAACTATCACCAAAACTATTGAAAATCTTGCCTCCAAGTACATTAAGTTCATTCTTTTGCCAAATGGTATAACTGAATGCAAGCCCCTTGAAATAAGGGGGCTCTACACTGCCTCAGGAGCCTCGTGGGCCAAACATCGCACTCAGTGCAATAGATACGATTTGGTCTCAAAGCTACTTTCTGGAATAAATTCCTACTATAAGATTAAAAAAAAAATCATTATGAACATTTACTTTTCCTTAATTTTCTTCAGTTTCCTGATTGATACTTCTTCTTCCATGTACTTGACAGTTTTTTCATACAACAATAAGACAATGTAAAGAAAAAATATTGACAAAATCACAAGCGGTCCAGACTCTCCCAAAGAATGGGTACCCATACTCTATTTGAAAATGTGAAGAGATTTCAGAGTACAGCAAGAAACATTTTACTACATTTTACACACTGTGTACCACAAGTACAAACAAAATGTACAACTTTCAATTGCCTTAGAAACTGAGCAACAAAACTGTAAAGAAGTGTATAGAGTAAGCTACAAATACAGAGAACTTTCCCATTTATATAACATGTTAAATTTAGCCACAAGAAAGTGGATAGCTGTAGACTATTCAAATCCAGGCATGTGAAAAAACACTAAATTTCATCTCAATAAAATTAAACTGCCAAATTAGGAGTTTGTTATAACTTATGTTGCAGCTATGATTTTAAAACCATAATTAATTTAAATTGGGAACAAAAATCTGTAAATAAGATTTCAAGTTGCAAATCTAAGCCTTAACATGAACATGATTTTATTGGCTTATAACTTGTTATAACTGCCACTGAATTGATTTTACAAGTAAACTAAGAGGCCGGTCCTAAGTCTGGTTTTGTGATGCCATAGACTATCTCCAGTATTTTAAGGGCTGTCCTAAAATTAATTTAAGTTCATTTATTTTTAACAATTATACACATGTACACAAAACCTTACATCCGCACACCCACTATGCAGCATTTAGAGAAAAGAGAAGGAGATAACATAAAATTAAACCAAAATTTCAAAAAAGATGACAATCTTTTGCCAAATGGTAAGATGCTGGAGAGAATGAATATATTTAGAGAAAGTAAGCAGTACAATCAGAATACTTAAGAAACATGTAAAAGACACATCCCTCACAAAAATAAAAAGTAAAATAAGTTGAAAAGAAATAATGGAGAGAATAGGAAACAAGCTCTCAACAACAGTAGAGATAAAACGCATTCTCTCATAACCAAACGTGAGATACACTTCTTCCTGTTGAAAAAACAGGCCCTGGTTCACACCTAAGATTTTTCTTACAAGTCCTCACACTATACTTTAAATCACATAATATGGGGTAGGAGATTGGAGTAGGGCAAAGAAAAGGAAAGAAACCTAATCAATGATCACTTTCTTACTTGGCTTTAATTAAATCTCCAGAAATGTACATGGGTAGACAGAGTAAAGGGAAGCGAGAAAGAAAGAAACAGGGGTGGTATAGGAATGTTGGTCCTGCTGAGGCAACAGGACCAAAGCGTCATGAATATGATGCAGGGACCTGTCATTTGTGTGAGTCTGGAACATTTAATTTCTACAAAATAATCCCCACTGCCCAAAGAAACTCTCATTTCCATGGCAAATGAGTTCCCCAATAGTGTGAGTACAAAACAAGACTGGACTTAAGATTTAAAAACAAAAAGACAGCAGTGAAGGAAGCATCCCACATTCTTCATATCCCATGCTGAAAGGTGGAGTTCAGGATGGTAAAATTAAAAACTGGGATGGAGTGAGAAGTTACTTAGTCTGCCTTTTTGGAAAGAGCAGAGCATCAGAAGAACACACCTGATGCCTAGCAGTAGGAGATACTAGCAAGGACACAATGACAGAAGATGAAGATGAAGTGTTATGTGGTCATAGAATGGATGAAAGGAGACCCTCACCCTGAGCTTGAGAAGCCTCTACTTAGTCTTCCTTCCTTTGTGTCTCATCATACCTGCCCACTGAAGATGTAATCCAGGATCTCTCTCATAACCATTACCGATATCCCTTCAAGTTCAATCTTATAGGTTGATCCATCATCTTTTGGAGGATTATAGTTTAACTTTGTCCTAAGAAAGGGAAAAAAATGTAAAATTTCTGTGAAAGAACAGAAATAGCTATAAATATTTATGCAATAAATACTCTATCAAGTATGATACTTATCAGTATATGAACCCCACCTAGAAAATTATTTTTTATAATTTTAAACTACTAAACATTTATTCTAGGATTCAGAATGCTACTTCTTAAAAAATAAACAGACAACCAAAGAAGTAAGATTCATGTGATCTCTACTTCACCTTGAAAACTCCAGTCCTTTAGGCTTTTTTCAGGTAATTATCAAATTATTTTCACTAATGTAACAAGGACCCCACAAACCTACCATCCAAAACAAAAGCTAAGACTTTGACAATAACCAGCTTCTAACCAGTGGTCCTCCTCACTAATCCATTCCATTGCTTCTCCCACCTGGAGCAACTATCATCCTAAATCCTATGTTCACTTTTCCCTTGCTTTCTTTTTTATTGTATCCATGAAACATATATAACACAATATTATTATATTCATTAAATATGTAATATATAAAACTTTATTTTTATATCCATGATGTACAACATCCATGAAACATATATAATATATAAATAAATGTGTGCATCTGTACATAATTTTAAGTTGTTTTTATTTCATAAAGTTTCATAATGTCTGCAATCTTTTGGGGCTTTTTTCATCCAATATATTGCTAAGAGTCATTCATATTGCTGCATATCACACTGGTTCTTTTGTTCTTTTTGCTGTACAATATTCCACTTTCTTGTTGATAGGCTTCTGGGCCATTTCCAGGTTTTTGGTATTGTGAACAGTATTGCTATGATTAGTCTTGTGTATGTCTCCTTTTGTATTATGTAAAATAAATTTCCCTTGGTTGTGGCCCTGGGAGTAGAATTACACTAGATTATTCTCCAAAGTATAAGATGACACTAAATTACTCTGCAAAATAGTTGGAGCAGTTTACAGTCTCAGCTGGTGTGTGTAGGAGAATTTGTGGATCCACAAAATCTAACGTTTGAATCAGTCACACTTTCTAAGTTCTTCCACTTCGGCTGAGTGAAATATGGTCTCTCCTTGTGTTGTAATCTGCATTTCCCTCATGATCCAGGTGAACATCTCTTCATATGTTTATAGCCACACGTGTTTCCTCTTCTATGAAACACACAAGTTTAGTTCAAGTCTCCTGTTCATTTTTTACTGAGTTCGTTATCCTCCTCATATTCAGGTTGAGGACTCTATTATATTCTTCATGTTAATCCTTGGCAGACTTGACACTTTTTTTAAGGTGATGAACAATCTGAAGAATACTTTTTCATGGTCAATGCTTTCTGTTCTTGTTTAAGAACTAACATCTTACCCAAATTTTAAAAGACATTCCTAATTTAGCAGTGAGGAAAGCCAAGGCACACCCTAACTTGCATTCAGGATAGGAATCAGAAGTATGGAGGAAGCTGTGGAAGGAAGGGTAAAAGATGAACCAAAAATAGAAGAACGGATTGACAAAATCTTAAGAAGCAGCTGAATTCCCAGAACCTTCCTCCACATATGTACACAACTTTCTTGCACAGTTTATTAAGGTTCTTCTCAGCTCCAGTGGAAGGTAAGTGATTTATATCCTGAAGACTATAAAACTGAGGGTGGGTCTCTAGACAGGGAGATCAGGCACATTTGAGGGTAGGTGTACTGTACCAAAAACTGAGAGAGTTACGAGAGTATAGTCTGAATGCTGAGACCACCAGATTTTTTTCCCCTTAGATTCTGCTCCTAAAAGGCCAAAGGCAGATTTATATCCTCCAGAAAAGAAACTTGGAAGATTCTTCTGGAGGATTTGATTAGCCACTCACCAAAAACAAACAAACAATCAAATGAAAAAACCCCTAAAGATATGAAGATAGATATGCCCCAAGAAAATGACCCAGCTTTATCAGTGAAACCCACAGTCAATAATCTTAACCTGTAGGATCTGAGCTTATAATACATTTTGGAGCAGCACTTCTGAAACTTCATGTTACGACACATGTAGAAAATGTGTTATTTTCTGGGGTAAACAGATGAGACTGTGTAGGGCCAGGGGCAAATAGGGGGCCTCAGCCTTCCCAGATGCTGCTCAGCCACTCTGAAGGCTGACACCACCATTATTTTCACATACTTGCTACATATTATCTTTTTGGCACATTGGTTAAGAAACTCTGCTTCAGAGCCCTACTCTTAAAATTGAGCAAACAGGACTCAACAGATGTCTGAGAAAGAATGACAGAATCCAAACCAACAGAAAAAAGGCAATTTGGAGGTAGCAAAGATTATACAAGATGAAAAGTCAAGAAAAAAAGAAAATCTTTTATTAATATTCCCAGAAAGAAAAGAAGATATTGTGCTCATGAAACAAGAATAGGATGCTATAAAAAATACAACAACAACAACAAAAATTTAAGGGCTATAAAAAAATTTTTTAATGTAATGTCAAAATAAAAAGTTGTAGAAATCTCCCAGAAAAGAGAGCAAAAAGGCAAAGGTAGAAAACTGGGAAATTGGTCCAGAAGGTTGAGCATTTGATAAATTAGGGATATCCCCACAAAAAAAGAGATTATCAAGTAAGTGCTCAAGTGCTTTCCAAGGCATATCCTCATAATACTTCAGAAGACTGGAAACAAAAAATTCTTATAAGCTTCCAGAATGAAAAAAGTTTACACAGAAAAGAATAGGAATCAGAATGTATTCATACATTTAAATGGGAATTAAATAACGATAGGGAATGACTTCAAAATTCTGAAGGAAAGTATTTCCAACTTGGATTTTTATAACCAAACTATCGACCAAATGTCAGGATAAAATATACATTTTTAGCTATACATGGTCTCAAAACAATTTATCTCCCATGCAACCATCTCAGAATGATGTTGGAAAATGTGCTCCAACAAACAAGACAGTACATCAACAAAGAGAATGATCCTGGATACTAAAAAGATGTGATCCAACACAGGAAAGAAGTGAAGTGAATGCAGGGGATAGTGAAGGATGGTCTTAGGATAATACCAGAAGAAGGAAGCCAATCCATTCTGGTGCCAGCAGAAGGCCTTGGTAGACCTCTAAGATGAAACTGATGGAATATATAATGACCTGGAGGTATAAAGGGGATATTCAGACAACTTTGTTTCCTCTCTATATTTCATATCTGCTATTCCTGCCTCTATAGTTTTTATTGAACTAGTAGTTTTACTGAAAAGGTATTTCATTTTTCTTGCTGTACCTAGTTTCATCTATATGCTCGACATTTTTATTAAAATTGAAGAAAAACTTTTCAGTCAATTCTCAACCAAGAGAGAAAAACAGTTAAGTGGTAAGATTAATACCTAAAACATCAATATTTGGCTCTGAAATGCATCATATACTATTTTGGCAGCAGACATGTCTTCTAGTAAAGCTTCACTTAGGATGTCTGTACTATTTAGTTGCTGCCTTAATTATCAGTGTATTAATTCTCAGATCCAAATTCACCCCTTTCTGCAGCCTCTGTAAAAATGAATCTGAGCCTTTCAATAATTTTCTTTTGTCAGCTAGCAAGATGCTAAACTTTTCAGTAGAGGGTGCTGGAAAGACATTGCAGGAGGAAAGAGTTTTGTTTTCTGCTTCTGGTATAGCAGCTTGGTAGGCTCCTACAATGCAGCCTGCTTTTCAGAATCAGACTCTGCAGTGCACAGTTGCCAGAAGGACCCTGCCACCATTCCCCCCACCCCCAAACCTCTTTTATGAAGTTTTGTAGTACAGTGTTTCTGGTGAGACACTTCCCCATGAACAGCCTTCCCAAGTACCTTAGAGGACAGATTTCTGGCAAACTCCAGATGGCTGTTTTCAAACATTCCCACCAGTATGGCTTCTCTGCTATGCAGTGAGCCATAGCTCTGCCCTGTCCAATAAAGTCTGGATCTCAGCCCTGGGTGTAGTGGCTACTTTCAGCTATTTCAGTTTTTTTTTTTACTTTCTTTTCTTTTTTCTTTTTTTAGTTTTCTTTACTTCTTATTAGGCAATCCCTCATTTCTGCAATCTCTTGTCATAGTTAATAACTCTTTTAATCAAACTTTCTGTGTTCAAGTTACTTTGGTTTCTTTCTGACTGGACCTAGACTGAGAAAGTTGCTAACCCTTTAAAGACAGTAGCTCCAAAATGTGTTCAGATAGAGGAGGCTCAACCTAAAATTCGAGTCGTTCTTATTTTTAAAGTAATTGCATGTTCAACAAGAGGGGCTATCTATGCCTGTGTGTGGGATGTGGACGGTGGTGGGAGCGGGCACTGGGCTGTTGGGAAAGTAGTTACAAGGAGCCCGACTGTTCATTATTGCTCCTTTTTATTTTTGAACCATATGACTAGATTAGTTTTTTTTTTTTTTTAAGTTTTCTCTCAGCTGGTGGCAGAGTATAAGACAATGGCTAAGAGGACAGAAAAAAGATTTAATATGAGCACTGAGTATTTCAGACATTCTATAAAACCAGATCCTTTCAAAGCCCATGAAAAATAAATCACTGTACGAAGTCTCTAAACATCTGAAAGTAAATGATAAATTTTAAATAAGGTTTAAATTTAGACTCTTACACCTGTCCTCAAACCTTCCAATTTTCATATCCTGCTTTTGACCTCCCCCCAATACCATTTGTGCACATCTAATTCCTACTCATCTTCTAAAGACTATAGTTGACCCTTGAACAACACAGAGGAGTTGGGGGTACCCATTCCCCACACACAGTTGAAAATCTGAAGATAACTTTTGACTCTCCCAAAACTTAACTACTAACAGCTAACCAGAAGCCTTACCGATAACACAGTCAATTAATACATATTTTGTATATGTATCATAAACTGTATTCTTACAATGAAGCGATTAAAGAAATCACAAGGAAAAGAAAATACAGCTATAATACTATATATTTACTGAAGTTAATCCACATGTAAGTGGACTGTGCAGTTCAAACTGTGTGGTTTAAGGGTCAACTGTAATTCAAATACCAATTCCACAAAAGGGTTTTAT